TGGTTCTGTTGTTTGTACTTCAGTAGTTGATGCTGCTGTAGTCGGTTTATCAGTCGTAGAAGATTTGGTTGTTGGTACTTCAGTTGTCGAAGCCTCTGTAGTTGGTGCATTAGTAGTAGATGATTCTGTTGTTGGTGCTTCAGTAGTAGATGATTCTGTTGTTGGTGCATCAGTAGTAGATGATTCGGTTGTCGGCGCATCAGTAGTAGATGATTCTGTTGTTGGTGCATCAGTAGTAGATGACACAGTTGTTGGTGTGTCGGTAGTGGATAGCTCTGTTGTCGGTGCCCGTGTAGTCGATGTCTCTGTTGTTGGTGCATCAGTAGTGGGTTCGTCGGTAGTCGATGGTTCGGTTGTTAGTGCTTCTGTTGTTGGTACTGGAGTAGTCGATGGTGGTGGTGGCACTATTGCAGTAGTTGCTGTTGCAGATTAGATCGTGTGGTTACATGGATGTGAGTAGCAGAATTAATATATAGGTATAGTGTAATAAAAATAAAAATAATAATAACATTAATAATAATAATAACATTGCAGTAGTGCTCAAGGCGCACCGGGACTGAACCAAAATTTACAGTGAACTACCAAAAGAAAAAGAAAAAAACACCATACACATCACTGCACCATTTTTAGGTAATTTGAGGTACAGCACCTCCTATTACTCATAGGTGCTCTAATAATGAATGTGTCTAACTAAACAAATTAAGGTAAACGTTTTATTTCTAATAGGCACAGTATTTAAAAAATTCCATCCTAGGATTATAATAGTTATAATTGCCGTTTACAAAACTTGGGATATTAATTTAAATAGGAAGCTAAGATGAATGTTATTGATACAGAAAGAAGGGTTATCTTTTTAAAAAATACATGAAGATTCAACATGTCTTTATTATTTGTCTCTTTCTAAAATCAGTTCGTATAACATATCGGAACAAAAAATTATTATTAAAAACAACACGAATATAAGTATACTTAGGCTCTAAAACTTATTTAATATTTTGTTGATTAATAATTCTAATTGATAGCGTACGACTAAGTTGAAATATCTATTTGTTTTTCAGGCTTTGTGATCGTAACATTTTACCTTAAGGGTAGCCAAGTAAATGTCACCACTCACGGATGATAAATCCAGAATTATGTGAATTGTTGTATACGTATTATAATATATGTCTAATGCGCTTCTATTATCATCATAATACGTAACGCTAGACCTTTTTGAATAACACATGTAACAGTTAAATTGTAATTTGTGGCTTAATTGATAGCGTACGACTAAGTTGAAATATGTATTTGTTTTCCAGGCTTTGTGATTGAAAATTTTATCCAAGGGTAGCCAAGTAAATGTCACCACTCACTGATGATAAATCCAGAATCATGTGAATTGTTGTATACGTATTATAATATATGTCTTAATATGCTTCTTATTATCATCATAATACGTAACGCTAGGCCTTTTTGAATAACACATGCAACAGTTAATCTATAATTTGTGGCTTAAAGCAAATAATACATAAACATAAATAGTTTCAATGATAAACTGCAATTTTGTTTTTCTAAACAACCTGAACTTATGTGTTGTGCGTCAGGAGTTGAGGTAAGAAGGTGCTTTGCGCTGCCTGATGCAAACCATCATCAAACAGCATTGCAATATCAGCTGCTACTTGAGAATCGGTTTCAAAACTAGGCTATAAAGTAAACACTCGGTGGTCTAGTGGTTAAGCCAACAGGTTAGCTTTCCAAAAGGCTGTGGGTTCCATTCCCACTCGAATCACTTGCAAATTTATTTGGAAGTACTATATTTTGAAACGTGCCGAGCAATTAAAATGAATATTGAGTACCATTAAACTTCATGACTAGAATGTTGAAAGTATATAAAAACAAACGAATTACAGCAGTTATACAGTAAACAAATTGAAATTGAAAAAAAAGTGTTTTTGTAAAACCACAATTATCGGTACACCTCACACTTTGGTCACTAGGAAAGAGGTACATTAGGAAACTATGACCATAATATAGTCAACTTTCTCTGCTTATTATTTGATTTTAGAGTCTAGCCGTTATGTAAAAAGCAAATTGCAACAGTAATAAAAATAATAGTTTTCAACTCAGAATTTAATGAGGAATAACATATCAAAAATTTATAAAAATCTAATTAGTTGAAGGGGTTACATTTGACCAAAAATAGCAAATTTTACACTTTACCCCAAAATGGTATTTTTAAGCTAACCCATCCCTAGAAGATTCAATTTATCAAATCTCTTTCCTATTCTTCCTTCTTCCTTTATTCTTTCACAATTTTGCGTTTTATTCATATTTTTCATAATTTTATACACTCACATATATAGTCACTTGTTTAGGCCTAGCCTAGGCTAGACCTCGGCTATGCCTGTTACTATATTATTTAAATATACAATTTTAATAAGATTAATTTAACATGGACATAGTAATTCATACTTAAACAATACATTAAATTTAAATGTAAATATAATGACGTTAACGAATAAATAACAATAATTAAAACGTGTACATAGTATCACTACTACAATAATAAGATTAATATTTTTCAATCTTTTAA